TGATAGTGTAGAAAGACTTAATTCACTATTCTGCTAAGTTTCAAATGTAAACAAATATGACTGCTATGGTAAAAAAATTAGGCTTAGCTGCACTTAAACAACTTTTAAATTGTTGATAATTATACAACTATTGCATGCAGATTAACTAAAGGCATCAAAACCTTAACCAGAAGATAATAACATAATTCAATCATTTTTAAAGCAAAAAATGCACAGTTTAACAAAACACTGAGCTCACGGAGCCAAGTAACAGAGTGGGTATATATATATATATATATGTATTTATATATTTTTGGTGCAGCTGACTGCAACCAAAAAGGGAGGGTGCACAACTACATGTTATAGCAGTCCTACATACAAAATTTCAACGCTCTGAGGCTACTTGTTTTTGAGTTATGCGAGATACATACAAATGTACATACAGACGCCACGAAAAAATCTCTTCTGAATTCATTTTAAATTAGTTTTAGAATTTGTTTGGGGGAAAAGAGTCCTTTATTCTGTCCTTACGTACAAATGTCATGCAAAGACATCGTTAAATTGCATTCGATAGAGGTCAAAATGGATATTTCTGTTGAAATATAGTAACCGGAAATTTTCATGATTACAATACTGCCTTTACCTCGTACAAGAAAATAAAAAGCATGAACTTTTGGATTCCTCATTCTTTGCACTGCATTAGAGCAAAAGTTATTCCATATTGCATGCTAGAATTACTCACTGTGAGCAGAAAAAATTGCATTTAAACATCCAGTTTGAGCAAAGTTATTTCTTATCAAGGGCACCCTTAACTCTTAACAGTATCTGATACCCTTATCAGAAGTAGCAAAATGATTAGAAGAAAACATGCTTCAGTTTAAAAAAATTACAGATCCAATATTTAGAAACTCTTACAGTCTGCTAAAAAATACTCTTACAGTCTGCTAGAATAGTTATAGTAGCCACAATCTACACTTACTTTCATTTGTTAAAGATCCATTCCCCCTTCCAAAAGAAAAAAAAAAAAACTTGTTTTCCTCATATCTACACTGTTGGCTGTTAAAATTGCAAAATCAGGAAGGAACGATCTGACGAATGTCAAAATCACATGAAAGGAAAAGAAGTTGTGATATGCAAATGATTAGTATTTCAGCTCATTTACATCATCTAATTAAGTATTCCATAGAACTAGTGCTAATTTCTACTCCATTTATTAACTAAGATTATCCATCATTATTTCACTATTTTCTTTTGATTGCCGAAAATTCAGGAGAGAAAAATCAAAATTTCCCGGAATTGGTTGAAGTTCCCCAAATATTTGGACCCCAATCCTTTTAAGTTGATGTAAAATGAGGACACTTATTTGCCTGAGTAACTGAATATGACAGATTTTATACGCATCCAGAGAGTTGTTACAAATGAATTTCTGTTCTTCTCAAGAATGATTACATTTACCAAATTATCCTTAGATGACGAATGTATTAGCATCTATGTCATAAAGTAATTCAATGAATGTTGTCATTTTTTACGTGAATCATAGAAGTAAAACAAGTGGATGTTTATATCTTGACTAAGAATAAATTCATCAAAATGTATGCGATTAACTCAACAAAATCACAATGTAATTTTATGGAAGTATATCCACTGTTGGCCATTAAGATTGCAATACCATGAAGGAAAGCAAATACAAAAAAGCTATTTGTTGCATGTAAACAGCATGGCATGAAGACAAAATGATTAAATTTGTAAGCATTTTGGAGGTTTACAGAGGTACGAAATTAGTAGAAACAGCCCTTACCCCATTAGGCATGGAGTCAAAGTGGGCTTGGATGACAGAAATGGGCAACTCAATCCATACTGCTATGCCACATTTCATTAACCGTATTAGCTGGAGATAATATGTATAATAGATATAAGTCTATGCCATATACATACATATAAGTCTATGCATGACTTATATGATAATACATATAAGTCTATGCCACATTTCATTAACCGTATTAGCTAAAGAGAGATGGCAGGCCAGTTAGTAACCTGCAGAAACGACATCTGAAGCACTGCATAAAGAAAAAAATTTATAGTGGATTTCTTATTCGGAAAGTGCTTTGTAAGGTTGGTGTTTGCTCAGAATATCATGCTATGCCTCTAATAAGAGGAAATGCTTGCCAGCAAGTTTCGAAATTTGATAGAGGAAGGATCGTTGCCTATAGAAAGTGTAAATTATTGTTTTGTGATATCGCCGGTCAGACTAATCGACATCCAACCACTGTTATGTGATTATGAAATCAATGGATTGCTGAGGGTCATACTGAATGACATGCAGGATCTCAGCGCTCTCTCCCATAACCAATGCCAAAGAGGGCAGACATATTGTGAGGTCAGCCCTGCAAAGCTGTATGACCACCTCACGGACCATTAGTCAGGAAATGGGCATGTTTGCAGCATGCCCAATATCAGCTTGTAAGGTGCATCGATGTTTACAACAGCGTGGACTATCAGCAGAGTGACCATTACTTCAGCTTCCCTTGACAATGCAGCATAGAGAGTGACAGTGACTCTGGTGCACCAAACGGCAAAGCTGGGTACAGGAGTGGCACAATGTTGCCTTTTCAAGCGAGTCCCCGTTTTACATGCAGTATTCTGATGGCCGTATACCTGTCTGGAGTGTCCGAAGAGACCGTACAACGCTTGCTTGCATTCGATATTAGTACAGGGGCCCTGGACCTGGTGTGATGGTTTGGGCAGCCACTGAGTACGTGTCACGCACATCTCTAGTCTTTGAGGACCCAAACACCATGTTCCAACAAGATAATGCAAGACCACATGCTGCAGATGTCCTGACCTTCCTCGATAAACAGGGTATTCGATTGCTGCCCGCCCTGGCCTGCCTGCTCTCCAGATCTGTACCCCATTGAAAACACCTGGTCATGGGTTGCTGAGAGACTGGCCTGCCATCTTTTTCTCCAGCTAATACGGTTAATGAAATGTGGCATAGACTTGAAGCAGTATGGATTGAGTTGCCCATTTCTGTCATCCAAGCCCACTTTGACTCCATGCCTAATGGGGGTAAGGGCTGTTTCTACTAATTTTGTACCTCTGTAAACCTCCAAAATGCTTACAAATTTAATCATTTTGTCTTCATGCCATGCTGTTTACATGCAACAAATAGCTTTTTTTTGTATTTGCTTTCCTTCATGGTATTGCAATCTTAATGGCCAACAGTGGATATACTTCCATAAAATTACATAGTGATTTTGTTGAGTTAATCGTATACATTTTGATGAATTTATTCTTAGTCAAGATATAAACATCCACTTGTTTTACTTCTATGATTCACGTAAAAAATGACAACATTCATTGAATTACTACTTTATGACATAGATGCTAATACATTCGTCATCTAAGGATAATTTGGTAAATGTAATCATTCTTGAGAAGAACAGAAATTCATTTGTAACAACTCTCTGGATGCGTATAAAATCTGTCATATTCAGTTACTCAGGCAAATAAGTGTCCTCATTTTACATCAACTTAAAAGGATTGGGGTCCAAATATTTGGGGAACTTCAACTAATTCCGGGAAATTTTGATTTTTTCTCTCCTGAATTTTCAGCAATCAAAAGAAAATAGTGAAATAATGATGGATAATCTTAGTTAATAAATGGAGTAGAAATTAGCACTAGTTCTATGGAATACTTAATTAGATTAATGAGATAGTTCATAAAAGCAAGCAACTTGTAAACTGGGGGTTTTCAAAAAACATGAATCCATTGTGTTTATGTATAAATAAGTAAATATTCCTCTTCATAAAAAATTTGGTTTGGATATTTTGACACATTTGCATATTTCACACTAGAAAGAAATAATTTATGACACCCTTTCAGTATCAAATCAGAAGCAAAAGAATCAAATAGCAAGGTATTTTTTAAAATTAGATAAGTTAACAGTATTTTGAGAAATGATGCAGTTCAAGCCAGGCTCAAAACCTGGCTATTTTCGTGATTTTCTCCATGTCCAACATAAATATGAACTAGTTTTTCTCAGAAAAATCTCCATGAATGCATTTCCCTTTTAAGCATATAGCTCTACTGTGCTTTTCAGTAATGCAATAAATTCTAAATTTCACTAAAACAAAATAAAATTAAATAATTTTTGCAACAAAAATTATAAAATACATGAAATTAGAATTTTAAAATTATTAAATTATTTCATTGTCATGTTTTAGTTAAAAATTATTAGTTTTAATAAAAGTAAATATTCAGCATGCAAAGGCAATTTATGTTTAATATTAAGCTGCATTAAAAACTCTTAGTTTAACTCCTGTAACTCTTCAACTTCATAAACTCTAGAAATAATTTCCTATATCAAATTTCAATCTTGTAAACTTAAATTTTCAGCAAAATATGATGGAATATGTTTGAATGATGTATGCATAACCATCGATAAACTTTGTCCTTAATTACAAGGATAAATGAACACATACAGTCAATTTTCAAAATTAACAAAATGGATGATATAGTGCATCCAGAATCTGTAATTAAAAGAATAAAAAAATTAAATTCCTGAATCTAAATATCCATAAAGTATTTAAGTTTTTTCACGAGTATTAATTTCAGTATTATTCAACCTTTCTAACTATTACAGCTTCAATCACACTAAAATGAAAATGATAGTGATATTATCTTTAGAAACATCCTCTAGTTTTTCTTAGTCAGCAATGTGACATTATACTTCCTTAATAAAACAAATTTAGTCCTGCAATTAAATTCCTAATTTGCCCTAATTTTGAATAATTTGTATTGAAATGAGAATAATGATAAAAACTTAAAAATTACCTAATTATTAAAAACAATATGAATTTCATGTAGGAAAAGATTTTGTAGAAATAATGAAAATATTGAATGCTCAGATTAGAAAAATTGATGGAAACAAAGGGGTGGGATGATTATACATTTTTATATTACATGAAAATATATTCCAAAAAATATGAAAAAAAAAAGTACGTTTGAATTATACTTACCATCATGGGAGTAATTTTTTTTTCTTTTTAAAATATTCATTTGTTTTTAGTTTCTTAACCATATCTTTCAAATTAGAAATTTCTGCTTGATAACTAGCCATGTATGTTTCATACATGTTAATCTCAAAGGACAATACCTGAAATTTTAAAAGTAAAGCATTATGAAAAACTAAGATAAGAGTTGATATTTTAGTAAAATTTTATTTTAGCATGGACAGCAGTTCCTACATATCATTAATATTTTATTTTAACAAGGACTACAGTTTATACAAATTATATGCAAAGAAAAGAAATAATAGTACCTTGTAAATTAACATGGAGAAAAAATTTATCTTATTTCATAAAAAATTATTATTTTAAATGTATATGGTTATGAAGAAAAACTATTCATACCTTTAGCTTCTCAGTTTTTTCACTTGATAACTTTTTTTGTTTTATGCCTGTAGAATATTTTTTTTGAAATTCTTTTTGCTGTGCAGTTAGATTTTTCATGTGATTAATTAATTTAGACATATCAGAAATTTTGTTGTTTTTACTTTGAACTTCCTTAGACTTTTTCAAAAGATGTTTCTGTAGTGTTTGATATTTTTCCAGAATTTCATATTTCTCAGGATCAGTTCCCTAAAAACGTTTTTAAAAAATTTTTAATAATGCTAAATGTAATATTAAAAAGCAGTTCAGATAATTGCGATAGAAACAGTGCATTTTTATACTGTATCCAAATATAAAGGTTTATCACATGCATACTACAGCTCCATTAAATAATGTGACAGAATAGCTTAATATACACAGTACAGATATTTTAATCTAGTTAGATAATGATTAATTTTACAAGTTTTTACACTTACAGTTTTAATAGAATAGCTTGATATGCTCAATATATATATTTTAATTCATTACACAATTAATTTTATAAGCTTTCATACCTGAAATTTTAATAGAGTAACTTAATGCGCATAGTATAGGTGTTTTAAACCAATTAGATTGTAGTTAACTTCATACACTTTCACACACACAGTTCTAATAAAACAGCTTGATATACTAAGTATAATATTTTTAAATCAGTTAGATAACAGTTAACAAAAGCTTTTAGACTGCATTTCTAATAATACTTACACAAAATTCTCAGTAAATGATTTGCATCAAAACAAAGCTGTTTCCAGTTAAAATATGAAGTTGATTATCCCACAATTTCTTGTATCTCACCCAGATTTATTTCCCATTATTGTTGATAAAATAAAATATATTTATCTTGCAACATATTTTAGAAAATCATTGAAACAGTTTATATATTATTAGAAATGTATATATTTATATTATGTCCTAATTGCTTGAAAACAAACAGTTTGAATAAAGAGACTACAATCATTCTATTTTTTAATTAGGTAAATAACTTCAGCAATTCTGTACATTTTAAGTTCATAAAATGAAGATATATTTTTTCTCTGCTTATGTTTTTATATAAATAAGTGTCATTCAATTAGAAACATAATTATTTGATAAAATAAATATTTATATTAACATAAACATATCTTTAATTCCTCTTTCATGATTTTATACACTTCTGTGCTAATCATAACTATAGCTTAAAAATTTAATATTGCATTGCTGTATATTAAAATACACTTTCTTCATTTTAAAATTACTGAATATTTGTTTACATTCGAGATCTAGAAAAAGATTCCATGAATCATGGATTTCATTTCTTTTTCTGTAACCATTTTTATAATAGCTTCCCTGCCCCAATATTAGGTTACAAATAATAGTTACAGTATTAAAACATATATATGTGTATATCACACTAGTTTACAGTGGGAAATACAAATGAAAACTACTATGTTATTTAATTTACAGAAATATGGGTATATTTATCTAGCATTTTTTATATATGCCAAGTCTTCACTATTTAAGCAGCAGGTAACAAGTAAGTACCTCTTTTCTTTCCTTAAAAAATTGCCCTGAAAACATTACTAAGGTTGCCTTTTTGCTTAATACATTGGCATGTTCTCTTGCAATGAAGGATGCCTTCTAGATATTAAGATTAAGGGTATAGTCCAGATATGTTATAAACAGTTGTTAAATAAATTTTTGATTTAAAGATGTTATGAAAAGTTTGTAAAAAAACTTTTGCATTATCCTAATTAAAATGCTGTGAAAATAGCTGTTTATATTTTTCTAGTAATATTTATATTTAGTTTCATTCTATCCCTATTTTGGAGAATTTTTTTTTCATTGTTTAATGTTATCAAAACAGACGTGGATATATGTGATCTCAATTAAGCAGCGCTTAATGTATTCAAATAATCTAACCTAGGCAAAAAAGATTTGAAGTCTATTTTTATAACATTAATAATAATTACTTTTTAAATATTTTTATACTAAAAAACTGAAAATTACTTTGAGCAACCTCCAACGATGAACATTTGTTGGCCTTTGTATTGTTCTTTCTAATGCAGAGTTTTTAAACCTTTCTTTGTTGAGCTCTTGTTTCGCATATGTGAAACTTTCCCTTAGTTTTTCTAAGTCATTTATTTTGCATGTTAATGAATTCTTCTCTCCAGTCAGTCGAAGTATTTCTAAATGTAACAGTTTTGTAGAATTCTCAAGATTTAAATAGGCCTCCTTTTCTCTCTGAATTACTTTCTCTGATAAGTGTATTTTTTCTTCAAGATCAGAAATTTTTGCTCTTTGACTCTGCATTTGTGAGCGCAGTGTAAGACATTCTTCTGTTTTCTAAATGATAGAAAAATAAACTGAATATATAAATTTTTCATATGCTCAAGGGAAAAAATAATACAAATAAACATGAAATAAATTAGTTATATTAATTGTATATATCAGGCATACAATTTTTAATTGGTATGCTCTTCAAATATGAATAAAAACTTATATAAAATTATTTTATAATATAAAAAGGATAAAACATGAAATAAAATGTAAAAATACTGTCAACATGCTGTCTTTTAAAAATATATCACCTTTAAGAAAATTGTCTGCACAGACACAATGATTGTGCACTGAGTTTTTCAGTTTTTCTTTTTATTGAATGCCATACTTACTTGAGTGAACCATACTTTACTCTGAGGAAAATAAATAAACAAATAAGTTATTTAAGATTTTTAAAAATAAAGAAGATCTGATATAATATTTGCTTGCCAATTATTTTTAATAAATACAGTCAATGTATTTATTTTCATTTCTTTTTTCAATTTCTGATAATTAATAACAGTTTTTTTAATAGTTTGCCTGTGTTTGGCAGTGACTTTAATGCCAAACAAGAGCCAATTATTGAAGAAGCCATAATTCAATGCCAGTTGTTAAAGAAGTTTCATTATCTATGATCTTATGATTTTCAGACTGAAAGTGGTGCAAGAATTATGTATTATTTTTGGAACTTCAAAATATCCGCTAAAGAATAGTTAAAGGCATAAAATAATCATAAATTACATTTCTGCAGAATATTTGTATAAAAAGTAGAAAAGAAGTACACTGACACACACTGTAATAACAAATTTATATTGAAGATAGCACACTTAACTTAAATGCAACTAGAATAAAACACTAAAATTATATGCTAATAATATAAAACTAGAAAAAGGCTGACTTAGTCATTTCTCAAAAAGTAAATATGGTAATAAAGTATAATATGTTAATACAGAGCATATGTAAAATATGGCAATAAAAGGCAGTAAATATAGTAATTTTATTATAAGAAGGTGATAGTTTTTAAAATATGCAGAATTCAACTTTAAGAGGCTGATGGTAATATTAACCTTTTAGCTACTAACGGAACATATATGTCCCACTAAAATATTAAGTATTATTGCTGGGTTAAAAAGTACTTAGAATATCCTGAATGTTGAGAATCGTCTTCCAATAGTTGGAAAATGAAGACACTGCTGTGCTTGTTGTACACAAACATAGAGAAAAGAACAAATATGAATTGCCCAATGTGTAATGTTGGTTTATGCAAAGAATGCTTTAAACTGTACCATAAGATATGAAATATATTTCATATAGTAAAGTTTTTCAGAATAATAGAAGTACTTATAGTAAGTTAATCACTACGTGTGGGACACATGTAACTACGACTAGGACATGTGTCGGAACCTTTGGCTTGAAAACAGTTTGTCAAAAATAATCCCAAATGCTAAATTTACCTTATTTATGACATATTTTGTTCACTTGGATAGAAAACTGGGTAATTGTTTTTAAATTCATAGTCAAAGGGTTAAAGAGAAGCTCAATGCATTTTGGGAAGATGATACAGAGATTTCTTTTCAAGAAGCAAAAACATTCGGCAATATACTATAGAGATTTAAAAATTATTATTTCAGTAGATAGAGAATCAAAAAAAAAAAAAAATTCTATTAAACTAAACTTTCTTCTGCTTTTTTTGGAATGACTGATCACAATATTTGGTCAAAATTAAGCTATTGAAAGTGTTCTAAACAAATCCTGACACTGCAAACATTTAGAGTTTAGTTATTAAATTACTGAAAATATGCAAATTTTTAAATCCTTCATGATATTTTCTTATCATTTTTTGTATTAGTAATTCTATATTTCATGTGTGTGTTAAACACTAAATTTAAGCGAATTTTGTATTGCATTTTAGTACGTATATTTATTGCCCCCCCCCCCTGCTCAGCCAAATTAAAGTATAAGCTAATTCAAATCCTATCCACTAGTTGAACATGAGACATATAGTCAGACATATAAATTAACTCTTAAACATACTGTCACCAGCCTTCATCAGCAATTCAGTTTGATTCAAAATTTGCCCAGCTCTCTCTAAGCAAAATCTGCTTTTACATCTTTATGGTATTACATGTATGTATAAATGTCTGTGTCTTGAATACACATCTAAAAAAAAGGTGTACCCTTCTGTTATTGGGACTGAATTCAAAAACGAAATATATATATGTTTGTATGTATATAGTACATTTATGTATACACACACACGTATATGCACATACATACATAAATTTCTGAATCTGGTACCAATAACACAAGAATACTAAAAAAAAAAAAAAAAAAAAAAAAAAAAAAAAAAAAAAAAAAAAACGTTCTAATAACTTTTAACTATTGTGCTCAATGGATGAAATCACTACAGAACTTTCTAACTTACCAAACACAAAAATGAATCATAAAAAAGTTTACTATAATTATTATAAATTATTTTAATTGGAATACAAACATAAATTAGCTTTCTCTGCAGTGTTTCTATTTCCTTTTCTTTTGCAGCTATGAGCTGTAAACGCAAACCATTTTGATATTCTTCGTGCTTGAATTGCATTTCCATGTCTTTGTGCTCTGACACTTCTTTTGCAGTTTTTGAAACTAATTTCTTATTTTGAAAATTCAGTGATTCCCATTTATTTTTCCAATTAATAACTTCTTCACTTTTAGAATACAGAGATTCTTTTAGTTCATTGACACAATTATCAAGGATATTGATTTTTTGTTTCATCTGATCTCGGCTCTCCTGTAAAATAATAGTATAACGATAAATCCTAAATGAAATGCTCATTTGCATGCATATACTCATTATATTCTTAAAAAGATTATATTCATATAAAGTAATGAGTTTACCTCTACATCTTTGTATTTTTGGCAAAACATTTTTCTGTCAAAAACTGCAGCACTAGTTATTTCAGTTTGTTGATTAAGTTTACTTGTTAATTCAGCAATTTTTACTTGCATCTGAGTTGCTTTATCTTCATGATCACAGAGACTGTTATTCAGCCTTTCAATCTGCATAAAATAAGGGGCAAAATACATTACTCTATTGTAAAACAAAATATCAACTATTAGAAACTGTCATACTTGCTTTTGCATTCCAATTGTTATAATCTTATATCCAAGATCTTTGAAGACTGCATTTCCAGTTTTTATAATAAAGATGAGAAATCTAAAAGCATATGTTATTTTTTAAAAAATATTTCTAATAAAGTGCAGATGTTGCATAAAACATATTTTATCAAAGTCTCTCTCTTTCCTCTGCAAATTATTTAATAACAAATTTATAAAAATAAATAATAATTCATTAAAAAATAAATAGCTAATTATTTAAGAAATTAAATCTAATCAAACATAAAAAAATTTAGCTCAAAAACTGCACAGTTATATGCACTGTGCAGTTTTGAGCTAAATTTTTTTAAAATGAGAAGGAAGAACATGCAATCAGCAACAGCTATTTAACAAGCTGCTTTAACAAGGACATCACGTAAAACAATTTTTACTATTTATGTCCTTAGAAAAGTATGCAAACACATGCTGTTTACCACATATACACCTCATGTACAACAGTTCTTATTTTCTTTTTCTAATCACTCAACTTTTGACAAACTACCTATAGTTTCATAATATTCTATTGTTCCAATTTTTTTCTTTAAAATCTTGGTTGAAATATAAACAAATCATCTTCAATTCCACCCATTGCATCTGAAGTGCCTATTCAACTCTTTTCCTTCACTAACCAATAACCCCTTACGGTAATTTTTCCTTTACAAAAATGCTAGTGCAGACATTATAGGAGTCAATTTTTCCCCATATCCCTTACTCAAAATGTAGGCATTACATTACCATATATGATAATATGTATAATACTGTAGAATACTGACTATAAATAAAAGCCATATTACTGCTTACATACATAACTAATTTAAGAATTTGTTTCATAACTAGCCATTATCATCATTTTGCCTTCCAGTTTCTAAAAACCGAAGACTCAAACCTCTAAATTTTTATGTTGGTATCACCCCCTTAAATGAGTTTTGTTCACCAAAGTATCACATCTTAAAAGAGCTTTGTGACATCAAAATTTGAATAAGAATCAAATTAATTTAATATCTGAAGTACTAAATGTACACAATAAACAGGATTTCATATTAATATAGTCCTACTATAAAACAGCATATTAATGTACACCCCCACATAAGTTAAATAGAAATACCTTTTTTGTTAATTCTTTTATGTCATCCAAGAGCTGAACCTTTATTGCTTCTAAAGTAGATATAATCCTATTTAATTTTTCTATCTGTTGTTTAGAAGTCTTAAGATCTTGACATAAAGTAATTCTTTCTTTTTTCCCAAATTACAGACTGATTTGAGTACTTCTCAACCAAAGTTTCCATCTTTAACACATTCTGTTTGAAAATAAAAATTTAAATTTTAAATATTTACTTATATCTGTGTATTACTTCAAAGACCATAGAATCATAAATTTACTATTATTAAAATAACTGGAATTGATAATACATACAAACTTACATTAAGAGAAAAATCAGGAAATTGGAATAATTACAGCCAAGCACTGAAATATATTTCTCCCTTTATGATGCATAAGAGATTTTAAATGTAAAAATGTTTATCTCAATTTAAATCTTTAGAATATTATTCTTGAAAGTATAAGAAATTCCGAGCAAACAGCAGTATGAATTATTTTTAAAATTTAATAAATTAAAATTTTTTAATTAATTAATTAATTTTAGGTTACTTCTAGCCTTGAATCTGAAATAGGCAGTAAAATCAAAGGCAATTGATCAAAAAGATTGTTGATAACACTTTTAAAGTAAAAATTTTAGATTTTAAAAAATTTTTTTATTAGTTACAAAACTATTATAGCCTATTTATTTAGTTTTATACTTGCTCTTGCTTGTATTAGATATTAAGTTCAGTATATATAAGTGATAACAATTTGTTCAATCTCACTTATGGTATTTTCAAATGATGTCAATCTTTTAGTGAGTATGAAAGAAATTTAATAAAAATTGGCAATATTTCAAATTGGCAATAAGAATTTATGCTGCATTTTATGAATTTATATTTCAATACTTAAATTATATTGGATAATATATTGTTGTGGTTTATTAAAACATCATTTTAATATTACATGATTACACATTTAACATAAATATTGTATTTGATTAATGAGCTTCATTTTCTACAATGTAATCATAAAACCTATCAACAGAAATTTGTTTGTAAGATTGAAGAAATATTTTTAAGACCATTTTTTGTTTCAGGAAATGCACATTTCAGACTCTATATTTAATTCAAATAACAAAATTGAAAAGAAATTCAAATGTTTTAAAATATTTGAACATATTATTTAAGGTATTTGGCATAAAGAAATGTATAACATAAAATTTATCTTTTAAGTTCATCATTAACACTTAAAGATGGGAATAATGAGAAAACATACGTATATGATACAAAAATAAGACAGAATGATGTGTTTGACATTTTTAATGCAAATATGATGTTTAAAAAAATTCATAATAAAAAAGCCTAACCTTTGCTAGCAATTCTTTTTTTTCTCTGATTAATGCAGAAACTTCTGATTCGTGTTGTGCTTGGTATTTTTTCAGTTTCAACATTTTTTCAATTTCTAAAATAAAATATATTTCTTCTAAATTTTTATGAATATAATATAGCATACTGTAATCAAAAGCCTGTACAGAATAGATTTTACAATGAAAAATATAACTTAACATAAACATATGCAATAAATTTTATATAAAACAATTTATAATAATTACTATTTTTTTATACAAAAGTTAGTACTAAATTATACCTCTTAGTTGAAGATGAGTAAATAAAAATAACATATTAGAGTAATTAAAATATTTGCTATAAACTTAATTAAGTATAAATTACAGTAAATTAAATTTTAATACTCCGAGTTAAAAACAAAAATAAACAAAATTTAATGCTTAGAAATGTTGTATCTATTATAATACTTGCCTTGTTTGATGCTTCATAAGTGAACAAGCAAAATATGGTTGAAGGCAAAGACTATTGAATAAAAACATATATATATAAAAGTGCACAAGGTAAACAAATGTTATAAATAGAGAAACAGAGGTGAAATGAAAAATACAGGTGCAATAAATTCATAGCAACTAAAGAAATTATAAACTATAAAACTGATATTTAGGATAAAGTAATTTTAGAAAAATAAATAAATGAATAAATAAAATTTTAAATAAAAATAATAGCAGGCATGGATAATATTTTTTATTAAAAATAATAGCAGGCATGGAAATTAGGTATGATTTAGAGTATTTTAAATTAAGAAAAAACAAAGATATTCCATTTGCCAAATGTATAACATGTAAAACAAATTAAACAATACTGCACTTAGTCATTAAATTAATTTGATTTACTAATATAAAATCATGTTGACATTAATTTTTAAATATTTAACAAATTTTACACCTATTTTCTTTATTTATAAATTACAGTGATTAACTGCACAGATAGTAACAAAAATTTCAATTGAAATGCAAATAATAAATTCATAACCTATTAAGAATCTGAATTACCTCCTTCATAATTTAGCAATTGCTTTCTTAGTGATTCATATTTAGACTCAATATTCTGCTTTTGGTTCTGCGCAGTCAGGAATTTCTGCAGCAATGACTCTTTCTCATTTATACTATTCACCAATTTTGTGTTTAAATTCTTCATATCATCATCTTTTTTCTACAAAAACAATTCATCTTAAAGGAAGTACCTTTTTTTAAAATGACACATGATATTAAAGATAAAGTAATGCAAATTTTAATTAACAAAAATTCAGATTAAAGCTGAAATAAATTAATATTAAATAAAATTTCATTAGATAACAGTTCATTCAAACCGGTAAAAGAACACATATTTATATCTCAGAAAGCCTTGTGAGTACTATGGATTATATAAGCTAAGGAATCATGATGGATCATTAATTAAGTTATTGCATTTGGTTTGCAAACACTTATCACAATATAGATTACATTACTAGAAACGTTTTAGAAATAATTAATGGCTTGATGCATTGAATTCAAAGCTATCAATATATACTCTATGTGTGTGTGTGTGTATAAATATGTAAGATAAAAAGAATGTTGATTAGCTTATAATTTAATTTAGCAGTAAGCTTTTAATTCCTCATTTTTAATTTGGGTATTTCCTCTCTGTATTCTAAAAGTGATAATAACTTTTTCGGACTGTGCCATTTCTAGGTTAATCTGCATCAGTTTGCTTGCACAATGCTGATGACATAACAAACTCGGAAATTAAACTCAAAATTTTGAGAACTGAAACCTTTCTAACATAAACCAACATTAACCTCTTGGTGAGCTTCCATATTGGAGTAATAAACACTTTAGCTTCTGCCTCTCTTCCTGTAATGATGCTGTTTTGCTGTGCTGTCTTCCTATCACAAGTATCAAAAATATAAATGTTCTGGAAATTCATATTTTTGATACTGACAATTAGAGTGCTAAGTGAAATGTGGCCACAAATGTCAATTTAAATAAAAGTAGAATTTAATCTGTCTTGACTGACAAGTTTCTTAGTTATTAGGAATTCAACACTGTACCATTCTATGCAATAAGAATTTTTCTTTTTCAATGTGGATCTTCTAGGTTTTATGAATTCTACATGTTAAGCCATCACCGTTGATATATCTTTTTCTATTTTTTTATTACACACATATATATATATAAATATTCAAATCTCAATTTACCAAGATAATATCAGGACTGCCCATGGTTACTGTTAAAGCCAAGGCCAATCTGACAATAGTTAAAAATCACAGAAAAGGAAAATAACTAATATTGTATGATATTGTAATTAATATATAAATAATGTTAATAACATACATACATTTTTAAACAGTTAATCTAGAAAATAACTTGTTTGTGTAAATTAAATCAGTATTAAAAAAACACTGTAAATAAGGGAAGAATAAACATTATTAGAAATGAAGAAACTAACTTACACCTGAATTTACACCTTGGGATCAGTGTGAAAGAGAAGATTAATGATTGTACACTTTATTTTCATAACTGAGGAATTTACATTTAATAGATAATTTTAATATTTTTTACTATAATTTAGATTATGAACAATTAAATTACATGATGTTGTGGGTAAAACAACTCCCTTTCACTTATAGCAGACCCACCAGAAAGGACTCCCAGTGGAGGGAAAGAGAAGTTGTTACGTAAAAACATACATGCGATGCTCTTGCTGACTGGCTGATGCAGCATGGCTCCTGCTCGTATGAATGAATTGCTTCACCTTTCACCTGCTAATAGCTGATGAATTTCTTGATCTCTGATTTGGAACATCTTTGGATGTTTTATTTCAGATCCTGATATGGGTTGAGTTGATCGGGCTGAATGATGACATCACGAACAACAGTGGTGATATTAGGTGGCAAGTGAGCCACAGCATAGTTAAATTTGGTCTTTTGTTCTGATGTCAGTTTATGAATTACTAATTTGAATATTGTTTCACATATGTGAAAACAAAGAGATGGATCAAGATAAAAGGTGGAATCACCACAGTGAAAATTTTGGAATCAGCCATTATCCAGGTGGAACAAGTGCCAGCAGGAGGAATCAAAATCAAAAGTGTCCATTACTGTAAAACAGTTCAAGTCCAAAAGTCACAATTGAAGGGGTGCATTGTTGATCTGACTCCCATATTTTAATGAAGCAGCATGGGAGAGTATTACGTATAAAAATATAATCTATTCCACATATAGAATTAAATTCATGCTGGGAGCACTGTAGCAGCCTTTCACTCCCCCCTTGACTCACCAGAAAAGACTTTGAGGGGAGAGAGAAATTGTGATGTAAAAATATACACATGATGCACGCCTCTTGCTGAATGGTTGATGCGATGCATTGCTTGCTTGCATAAAGTAAATGTTACATGAAGACAAAATTGAAACAAATCTGACACATCAAAACTGAAACAAAAACAGTTCAGTATACTATATAGATAAATAAAAACTTACATTTAGTAGAACAGCCAATTTGTCTCTTTCATTTGAAACTGATTTTAGGTTTTGGAGCTGAAGTTTTACATGTTCTTGAGCTTCAATGCATAGTTCTTGCAAGTAGTTGATTTTCGATTGATGAAGAGAAACTATGGACTAAAATGAAAATGAACAGTTACTAATATGCTGAAAAAACATCAATATTTATAAGAAATAATATAAATAATCTAAGAAGTGAAATTTTTTATATATTAATTATAGAAGCCAAATATAAGATTATAATTATGCAATTGCATTCAGATTTAAAATTCTAATTAATATAAAAACTAATTAAAATATGAAGATAAAAATAATCAGTATCTCAACAAATATATCCAAATGTTACATGGATACTGAAATATAACAACGTAAGGATTGCATTAAAAATTAATAAATAAAAATAAGAGAGAGGTACTGGAAAGTAAAGTAAAAATAGAATTTTCTAAATAATGATGACTTACAGATTTATGTAAAAAGTTCTATATATAATATACACACTCAAGCTTATAGTATTTAAAATAAGTACTTCGAAATTTAGTTATTTTAACACATTATTTTCCTAAAAAATAAAAAGTAAAGCATTTTTTACAATGCAACATTTATAAATCCTGTTTAATACATACCCAAATGCCCATATTATTTGAGTAAATTTATCATGAGATTAAAATATTGTATAAAAACACAGAAAACAGAGACTGCAAATTTAAAGTCATCCCTTTATTTCAAACAATACAGGGGAGGAAATTTTTAAACCTGTCACAATTATTCTTACACTATATTAACAGTTAGATTTAAGTTAAAAATTATTCTATGCTTCTTGGCTCACAACAAAATCTTAAGTCAGACCAGAAAATTAGGAAAATGTAATAACATGCATCATAATTTAAAAAGCAGGAGGTTAATTTTAACTATAAGTGTACTAGAATGCTTTGTCACATTGCAACCATGTCTTAGTAAAAATTAGCTCATTACAACTTCAAATGGCATGAAAGTACACTTAAACTGAATGTTCAATCTAAGGTCTAACTAGAATTATTGCTCTTAAAGCTATTTCATTGCCAATGCATAACACACATCAAATTAAAATAAGTTAAAAAAAGATTTATTTAACCACTATTGGTAAGTTAAGCTAAAATAGTAGTAACACAAGTTGAATTGACTACTTATTGTATAAACAATATTACAAGATGACATTACTTGTTTTAGTTGCAAAGATTAAAATATTTATAAACACTTTTCTAAATTTAAAATTAAATAATAATTAGCTACACCATCTCTAAAATAATAAAGTGTTTACCAATAGTATATTGACTACTTAAACATTTCATAAATACAGCAGAAATTAATTCTTAGTAAGAAACAGCAGGAACATGGTGAAATGCTCGAACAAGCTTATGATATAAATCCTCTTTGCACTTTTAAATTATGCTACATGCCATTGAATACACATAAATTTTTAGCCTGAGCAAATATTGTTCCATAAACAAGAAAGATAGGATAAGCTTGAACTCAAATCTAACTGTTAGTAAAACTTAATAATAACTATCTCAAATCCATGAATGATTCTCAAGCAACAACTAAAAAGTGTTAATTTTGATCCTGTGGTATCATACAGAAAACTAATTAAATATACCTAATTAAAGATCTGAAACTATGTTAATAAAATTATTAAAATGAATTTTGTCAAACTCTTTTTAAAATCACTAGGTAATGCATTCACAATACAATATAGAAACATGCATATTAATTTACACATCCAAAATATAATTTCAGATTTAAAAACCTATGACACAAAAAAAAGTTTCAGCTACATTAATTATCTGTTCTAAATAATATTAAAAGAAAAAAAAATTACTTCATAATTATTGATCTTCTTTCCTGTAATAGTGATATTTCTTTTTAAGACAGTCACAGTTTCATCTAATTCATTAATTCTGTCTTTCTTAGCTTTTAATTCTTTCTCAACCAAAAGTCTGTCTTTGGTAACTTTTTGACTTCTTCCTAATTCTTGCTTAAGTTTCAATCGCAGATTTTCAAGATTTCCCTCTAACTACAAATATATATTTTAAAATTATTTCAGCATTCTTGTGCACATAATTTACACACTATTTACTAGTGTTTCTATATAAAATATTTATTAAGGCATGTGGAAAAAATATTTGAAAACAAATTTTCAAATAACTAAAATGGCCATGATGATAAAATTAATGAATTTCAATGAATTGAATTAAAATGTTTTAATTAATTAAATTTGCAATTATATTATTATTTTTTATATTTAATTACAAGGATAAATCACATTTTCAAAATTTAATTTTCATAATACAGTAAAAGCCTTTATAACTGGCACTTTATTAACAGCAATATTAAAATAATGGCAATTTTGAAGGTCTAAACTTAAATCCAAAATTTAGACCTATAAGGTAAAAAAAATTGTAATGGGCTAGTGATGGCTAATAATTTAATGTGAAAATCATGAGTATTAAGTTTATTCTGCTCCACCAATTTTTTTTCAAGCTTCAATGTGTAAACTTTGGAAGCAGTATCCATGACTCAAAAAAAATCCACGCTGAAAGACCATATTGACTTTGGCCCTTCCCTAGAAAGATGCAAAGAACATTATTTTTTACATCATTGTTGGTATAAACTGTGGGCCATAATTATGTTCGTGAATGACGAGTCAAGTGACAAAGATTCTCTTGTTTTAAAACATTCCCGGTGCCCTTGTCCCATCATGGATTGAGTTACATGTTTAGAGAAGATCAAAGTTAGAAGAAGAGCTGTAGGCTTGGATGAATGTAATGATGATTCTATTCCTGTCACACCCTCTCAAGATGATGATGAAATAATCAGACATGTACTTGAAAAAGAGAATGATGAGGAGGAGAAGGGGGAAAATGGAGATGGTGGTGCCATGCAGAATAAGAAAGTTTGTCGATGAAAGTTTGTAGACTTTCAATAGATTTTCTGAGCAAGGTTCATCTATATCAGTGCATGATATTATGAAGCTTTTTTATATACACAGCAAATTCTTCAAACTCCAGCAACAATCTCATAAGCAGACACACATTCAAATTTACATGTCATCACACCATAAAATTCATAACTTTCATCTAATAATATATATAATTGGCAATTTAAAAATATTGTTTAATTTAATTTTTTTTTAAATTTTTGTTTGAAGTCTAAAATTACGAGCATGTATTTTAGTTTTCAATAATTTGTATGATCTTCAATATTATTTATTTAATACTGGTTAATAAATTGAAAAATATTACTAAGAGACTTTGCATGCTGCAATTTCTACAGATGGCATCATAAAATGTAAACAGGTTAAGTTCTAAAAATATATATATATTTATTTATTCATAAATATCCCTTATCTGGAATCAGTGAGGACCTGTTGATACTGTTTAAAAGAAATTCTACTCTATACTGAAATAAAATAAATATTGAGGGGGGGGAATTGTATTCTAACACATATTTTATTTTTTTCAAATATCATTAACTTTTGCATGTTTTTGCCAAAATGAATAAAAATATAAAGAAAATATTAAATAGACAGTAGTTTCATGAATAATAATACAAAGAATCTTACACAATTTTTTTTTTCAATCTTTTAGTGACTAAGAACATTAACAGCACTTAAAACAGTAATACAGAGGTAGTACGTTTTGGTAAAGAAATTTAGCTAAGCATATAAAACTATTTACTTTATTATTGTTACCATTAGAGAGCTTTGTAATAGAAAAACTGGCTAATATTATGTTATATGCAATGAAAGCACATAACCAATCACTATTCTAAGAATTTAATCCAAGACAAAACTACCACTATTCAGTTGTAAAAACTTCATCATTGATGTATCCTTTAAACATCAGTAACTGGGTAGCTAAATATTTGAATATTGATGGTTTTATCTGAAGTTCAATTCTCAGAAAACTTGCATCAGATTATCTTTCATGTAATTCAGAAAATAATTTGATGAGTTTTGTTTTAAAAAAGCAAGACCAGTTTACAAAGGTATTTTGCTAATTTCAAAACTTATTTCAATATTCTGAATTTTTTCCCTACTTCCTTCTATGCAGTGCTGATGATATTCCTATCAACAACAAACTTTCAGAGAAATACATGATTTTAAAAGTAATTAAAAGTATTTTGTAAGGAAATAAAATAATTTTCTTAATTGCAGTTGATAAGTAATAATCTTAAATCAACTATGTAAAAACTAAGAGTTAATACATAAAAATAATCACAAATTTATCTCAATAGCTAATTATGCATAAAGAAATAGAAACATAGAAAAATTTCCTGTCTAATTTTAACTTTAAAAATTACAACCTGAAAGAAACTAGAGGAACTTATAAGATGTGTAAGAAGAAATAGAAAGACATAAAAAATTAACATGCTTTCATTAAATTATAAGTAGCACAGCCATTAAAATTTTATTTTCTTAATCACTTACTGAAATCATGAGTAGTTAGTTATATGACTTCTAGATTTTGAGACTAATTTTAGTCCATCAGCAGCCAAGCGGTAAAGTCCCTGAACACTGGTAGTTCAGTCCAAGGTTCGAATCTCGCAAATGAGCTGGCTACATGGACATTTTCGTGGTTTTCCCCATGTGTAAATATGAGCCAGTTTTTCTTAGAAAGTCCTCCATGAAGGCATCCATCCCTTCCCTGTAGTGCCTTAGGGCAGAACACGTAAATAATAATATTAACCACCATCTTAGCCTTATTTTTCAATCATAATTCCTGGTGCTAACTTAAAAATAACTTTTGAATTTCTATAACCTCCTCTCCCCCCAAAAAAATTGTCCTTAAATTGAGGATCTCATATGTAGTTGCAGAGTAACTGCTACCTTCTGCCTACACCAAAATATATTAGTAATGCTATCTTATGATGTTTGAATAATACCCATTCTTTATGAACCAAATTTTGATTTTATATATATTCCAACTGATGTTAATAAAAGTATAAAATGAAACTCAAACATGTCTATAGAAGTTTCTTCTCGGAAAGAAAGGCAGATGTTGAAGTACTCATGAAAATTTTAGAATACTTGATTTGTGTATCCCAAGTAGAATAGTAATTAATTACATAATCAGTGATTATTTAATTATTTATAAAATTTGGTTGCTATAATAATAATTAGCAATATTTTAAAGTTATTGCTTAAGAACTATTCTCACTTTATGCATTGCTTCCATTGTTTCTAATAACTTTGATTTGATCTCTTCTTCAGTAGTTTTTCTTATTTTTAAATCAGCTTCTAATTCTGAAATTCTGGCATTCAGCAATTTTCTCTCTCTTTCTACTTCTATTTGAAATGCTCTCTCTCTATGATTCAAACAGAAAGTGATTGGATTTATTTTAGAAATTCTAAAGCATTAATAAATACATATAAAAAAGTAATAAAATACATATAACATGTTAAAGATCAAATGAAGCAAACCTTCAAAGAAATGATATTTCAATTTTGATTGAATTGTAGTTAAAAAGGGGGTATGCAGAAACCACTTAAACCACTCATGTTTAAACAAAATGTTAAGTTAAATTAAATAAACTGCGAGCTTTAAACTGAAAACTTGTGTGATTGTTCACATATTCATTAAATTTCAACAAAGAATCTGTATTTTTAAAAATCTGTAAAATCTGTATTTGTAATCTGTATTTGCTGTGCTGAAACACCCAGTATTGTATATACATGTAAATAATTTTTATTTAGATGATTTAAAAAAATTGCTATTTTTTTAAATTAGTTTAACAAAGATTGAACTGCATTTAATTATGTGACCCCCCTAGGTTTTTAGAGCAAAGTCATGAAATTTTTTTTAAAATTTACATTATTTTCCCCTTCTTCAAGATATTTAGAAAGCAAGCTCCTCTAAATTCTAAAATGAACTTGTCCACATAGTGGTTGCTTTTCATTTTACAGTACTCTTTCAGTACCTGCATTTTGGAGAGGGTTTTTTTTTTTTTTTTTTTTTTTTTTTTTTTTTTTTTTTTTTTTTTTTTTTTTATTGTAAGCAGTTTATAGTTATAAGAATAGTTTATATTATGTGACAACATATTTGTTTCATGCCTAGCAATTACTTAGCATATATTTCATAGCATTACTGCAGTAGCGTTTATTATTACAAAATATTTATTTCATTCTCAATTACTGGAACATTGCATGTGCGGACTACCAACCCTATAGCTATAGCATTAGCATCACTTAACAGAATATTTATTGAACAATTTGACCCATTTCTCAACCCAAATCTCCAAAAACCCACTGTAGATACAAAGAAACAAAAGAAAACATGACACAACCTATGTTTTCTTTTTCTGACCAAACTTTCATTGATAGTGTCAGTACTATCCATCTTAGGACAAGATATCAAAGAATAGCAATAAATCTCTCGATAATTATTCAGTCCACTATCGTATTGTGATTTAATTGAAGCTGTTGCTTGCAAAAATCAATGGCAATTGGATCTTTGCACCGTAAATAAATAAATCCTGTAATAAAATACATTCCCATTTGGACGCCTTTCTCTTATAACCGAAGATAGAAGAACCATCTAGGCTTTGGAAAATATTTGATTTTCATCAGGTGCTTAGTTGAACAGTTTTTCTTTATGGATAGACCTTTATCTTAAAAGAATATAATTGCCACTTGTTTGTTGCTTTGCAAATCCCAAATTTTTAAATCCATTGCAGTAAAAATGTACACACAGACTAATGAAAGAAATGAGTTGTGCGGGTGAAGCAAACTGACAAATGATAATGGACGACTTTAAATTGATAATGGTGATAAATTATATTATTAACAAATATTAGTGCCAGTCATTGCGGTTAAACTCCCCAGCTGGTACTATCACTGGATCTTGGGGTACATTTCACTTCTCTTTCACAGGTACCAAAAAAGTGTGGGGGGTGCATAATACGAAGTGCTTGTTTTACTAACTAATTTTCTCATGGATTTTGAGTGCATGGGCTGTGATGAGTGATGCATTTATAGTGAACAGCTTCAAGAAAACAGGGATATTTAATGCTCTTGATGGCTCTGAAAATCATTGCATGAAAGAAGAGAGACTAAACAGTGATAAAAATGATGACAACGGTGATGATGGTGGTGAATTGCAAGTTGTAGCAGACAACACAGTTTCAGCAGCATTGAGTGAATTGAGGCCTATCGAGCAGATGTGGATAAGAATAAGAGCAGACAAGATTTAAGATAAAGGGAAGTAAAAATCAAAATATCTTACTAGATATCATAATGTTAATATTACTACATATTCTTACTGGAAAGTAAGTCTCTTTTAAATAACATAATACTGTCATACTTACCTGTAGTTTAGCCATGACTACTTTTCATTTCCTATGTTCTTACTGTACTTTAGATATCAAATTATTTGAATAAATTCTCCTCCCCTCTTGGCTTTCTTATGATAAAATTAATAAAAAAAAAGGAGAATAAGTGAGTAAATATGGTAGCTATCTAAAATAAACTTAGGGACAAAGATAGAATTAATTTGAATAGACTATATATCTGAATTATGATAAAAAATTTAAATATGTTTGTAGAGACTGTTAAGATTGAGTGGGCAACATAAAAAATTCATTGAACTCTTGAAGGGTTCCTGTTTGAACTGGAAACTAGAGTTAAAGTTCTGCAGACCTTACTTGAGGAATTATGAGTTATGACTATGTCTTAAACAACTCATAGAATAGTGAAGATTGCTTAAATAACCTTTTCACTTAGTCTTAAATTGAGCATAAAGGCACTTGTGCTCACATAAGTTGTGATACAGATTAAACTTCCACTACTTGTGGATATTTAAATTAACATAACAGCCATTAATTTCAAACATTGATAACATAGTCTAAGACTATGCATTAAGAAGACTAAAGTAAGTTGAGTTGGAATATTTTACAGGTGCATAATTAAAAACATCAGCTAGCAAGCTGCCAAAGCCAGAATACAGCCTTTAAGCAGAGCTGGCAAAAATGCTAATAACAAAACATGGTTGCCAGAAGCTCTAAACTGAAGATTCAAAACCTTCAGCTTAAATACACACAAAGCTAATATGCATTCTAGTGAGGAATATGGAAAGGAGAAGTTATAGTAAAGACTTAAATCACAATAACTGGTTAGTTGACATAAGATACCTTACACCTTCACCAGAAATAAAATTCCTAACTCATCTTTCAACTTGCTAACTGAATGTGTTAATCCCTACCCCTTAAGGGTAATACTTAGGAAAATCCTCACATATTAAAAATGTTATCTTAAAAATATCACTTAAAAATATTAAGTTCTGAAGTTAGAAGCACAGAAAATAAATTTAGAGTTTTTTTTTTAACCATTATTATATACTGCTGAAACTTTTAAAAATAGTGATCCCCTAATTACTAGAAATCCTAGAAATAAAAAAATAACAGAGAAAATTTTTAATATTTGCAACTTAATATTCACTGAAGTCTTGAATGCTTTCAATGTTTGTAATTAATGTCTGTTATGTTCATTTAAATATACACAAGTATTGGAAGTTTTATATGCAGCACAAGTGCCTTTATTTTAATTATAATTTTCTTTCTTCCTAAATAACTAAGCATTTGAAATAAAAAAAAAAGTTTAATAACTTAAAATCAGATAAAACTCACAACTAAACTGACACTGATTTTACTGAAAACTTTATGAATATCAAGAGAGAGTGCAATGCTTAGAATTTTTCTATGAAACTGATATCAATGTATATTTGAATTTTATTTAATTTTAAATTTATGTTCTTCTTTTTCATTCATTAAACTTAAATGGAGAAAAAAATGAGGGGGGGTAGAGGAAAGAGACAACAAAAATAGAAAACATGACAATAATAATTACTTTTCAGGTATAGAGGTATCTTCTTTATTTTCTAACTGAGAAATTTTTGCTTCAAGTTCTAATATTTGTTTCTTGAATTCAATTTCCCTTTCCTCAAAATTTTCAAAGCATTTGCATGCTTGTTCCATCTCCTAGAAAAATAAATGTTTGATCATGTTAAGTAACATGCTACAATAGTATTTTTTTATTCTAAATGATTTATAGGATTTTCTAATGAATTTAATGAAAAGTCTAATTATGTAAATTATATCAGTATTTAATAACATGTCGTATTGTTGTTATGGCTAATTTTACTTGTCTAAATTAATTTATTTAACACAATTTAAAATAATTCTTAAAAGAATTTTAAAGAAAAACAAAATGGTTTAAATAATACACATAACAAATTTAAAAACATAGCTTGACACCAAATAGCTTACCTTGCCAATGAAATACATGCAGAATGCATTTGTATTTAGAAGTAAAGAAATGTTTCCAGTGTAACTTTATTATTTTAAAAGTGTTAGCTTCCCTGGACTTTTTTTCTTTTTCTTTTTTAAGATTGGCAGGTAAATTTACAAATTAACACTTTTAATTTACAAATAAACATTTTTAATTGTCAAAGGTAAGTTTATTTTAAAAAATGAGTATTGTAGTTTTCGGCTATGATGGAGATATACCAGAAAAGTAAAATTGCACTTGTTAATTTCACAATTGCTTTTCTACCTATAAAAAGCTTTTAAATCAAAGATTCAAAGTCACTGAAAACTAAAAATATTTAAATTTTGAATTTTATTTGTTTTATTTAATTAGTTTTATGTGACATTTTTTGTAACATTAAAAACTGAAAAATGCTTCTTTTATATGCATGAAATAAAAAATGGAATAAACATTTATTTTATTTATCTAACATAGCATTTTCATTTACTGTAACTAAACCTCAAATTTAGTTCAGTGTTTCTTAAAAATTTTAAAACTTTAAAAGTACTATGTGATGAAAAAAGTTTGGAAAACATCAGTATATATTAACTGTTGCTTAAAATATTTTATATTATTGTACTCTTTAATGAATGATGATTTTAAAAAAGTAAAAAGCAAAGTAAGAAATTATACAAATCTAGCTATTAAATATTCTTTAAATATAGCTTTTTATCAGTAAATTTAAAAAGCTATATTACTTGGTAAAAAAGTGACAAATTATAATGGTATACAGTTATAACTTACTGTAGTTACAGACAGACCTTTTTTAGTGTATCCAAAGCCTTTTCAGCTTCATATCTTTTACCTTCAGCTTCTTGAATTCTTTTTTCACTTATAGCAATTTGTGCATTAAGTTCTTGACAATGATTTAAAAGCTGTTTTTGTGACTTTGCAGCATCTTTAAGAGCTTCCAAGACTTCAGAATATCCTTTTTCAACATTTTCAGCAATTTTAGTTTTTCGAAGGTCATACAACATCTAAAATAAAACTGAATAATTATAACAGCAACTTATAAATGATGCATAAATCTTAATTTATAAATGAAACATAAATTTTATGATATACTTAAAATTTATACTTATATATAACAGTTCAATGGATATAAATATTACTTCATCAATTTCTACTAATACATTTTTATGCAACTGAGAAAATTTTATTCATAATTGTAAAATTTTTAATGCCATTTAAGGTTGATCTTTACGTTATGGTAACTTGGCGTTTTTTTGGTGAAAATTTGGCGACCAACTCTCCTACAGCAACCCTCTATTTTGGTTAATGGAAAATTAAAGAGAAAATATACTACCATTTTTTTTAAAATTTATTTATTTAAAAAAGATAAAAGAAATTTATTCCAAAAATTTGCACTTTATTTTAAAAATTATTCTTAACAAAAATCTTTACGGTGACATATTTTGCACTGCAGCTAAATAATATATTGTATGCATATGATAGTTAAAAAAAAAAAAAAAAAAAAAAAACATGAATAAAAGTATATTACATTCCACTCCACTTGAACTATTTTAAACAATGTGAAAGATATAGGTCTTTGTAACATCTGCTTTTCATCCAAATGCAAGTAAAAAGAATTCAGCTCAAGAACAGTCAAAATCAGCTCCAGTGTTATCAAAGCACATTAAATATTAGGTATACATTTAGATTTTCTGTTATATTTTTATTACTATAATAATGTATAGAATGACTCTCATGTAATCTCCACTCGATACTACATAAATATATAAAATATAATTTTTTGGCATCATTATATCCTTTTAGGAAGTGATATTTAATACCTGAAAACATTTCTTACATTTTTTAAGGCATAGACAGGTTTAATTAGTAATTAATTTATAAATAACTATATTAATAGTTAATAGAGCACCGTTTTTTTTAAAACAACAAAATATTAGAACTCTAAAGTTTTTATCTTTTTATTATATAAACTACACATATTTAAATTACTTATTAAATAACTTCAATAGTTTCAGTTCAATATACAAATAAATAAATTAATTAAAACAAGGTTTAAGACAATATTTATCAGATCAATATTTAAGTATCTAATAAAAAATTGGAGCTTGTTTGTAGAAATAGAATTAAACAACTTCTCAGCTCTCTTTAATTCCTTTTCAATTTAAAAAAAAAAAAAAAAAAAAAAAAAAAAAAAAAAAATGGTACAATGCACCAAATTTTGTTCTTTTAGCATATGAAGTTAATATTGTATATACTTAATATAAGCAAATCTAAATTTCAAGATACAACAAATCTCACTATTATGTTAGAACAAATTTAAAACTCTCCACACACAAGCAATTTAGAAGAGATATTAATTTAAACCATCAAATGAATTTTTTGCAAAATTTTATAATGTATTAAAATTAATGAAATCTTAAATCAACTGATGAATGATAAAAATGTCTATCAGAAACAAAAGCTGTCATTCAGAGTTTTTGATCAGTCTGCTGATGCCCCAATCAGGTAAAATTACATTAAAACTGGTAAATCAAAATAAGAGAAAAAAAAAAAAAAAAAAGGTAGTCAAAGCTTTTGGTCAGAGTTATCTATGGCTATTTGAATTGAGTGCTGATTATTCTTTCTTGTAGGTAGAAAATGGGTAGGCACATAAATTAATACTGCATATAAAGGCAAGTAATATTCAAAATAAATCAACAGCTAATTAATATGATTGTCTAACTGATTATATCTGAATATATATAATAATGCTGCTTCCATAAATCAGGCAAAACTGAATTGTGAGAGATAAACTGTTTAAAAGTCTTATCTAATTTAAAAATTTTATAAAGTGTTCTTAAAACAGGAAGTCCTTAAAACTTCAAATTTAAGATTTTTATCCTGATACACATCATATTTTATATGTTATGCATGAAAAAAAAAAAAAAAAAGGTTTGGAATCCCTAATCTGGAATATACTTAAAGGGGAAAATTACCTGCTGGAAATTTGATGTTGCCTTAACAAGTCTTGGTAACAAATCCATTTCGGATTGAACTCTCTCTCTCTAAAATAGATCGAAACACAAAAATTCAGTACTTGGTAGACACGCGTAACCATAGCAACCACAGCTACGGCTACAGTGTAAATCTTCCACGGTAGCCATAACAAAGAACAGCTTTTAAATTAGGATATAAAAAGTGAAAATGTATAAAAATATTTATTCCGTGAAACTTTTTACTTCATTTATTGGATTTACAAATATCTAGATATTTAACAATGTAGTAAATTATATAAATTTCAGCTTCGGGCAGAAATTTTAATGACTAAAAGCGAATATTTGAAGTTTCTGTTTCATTAATGTCATTATCAGATATATGTGTTTTATATCGCAGGTGGAGTGCGTAAGTCATTAAGTTTGTATGTTAAGCTTGTTTAAATGTGTTAAGAACCGTGAGCTTTGCCTATTTGGAATTCTTAGCCCCCTTCTGTTTCATTAATGTCATTTTCAGATATTTGTGTTTTATATCGCACGTGGAGTCCGTAAGTCATTAAGATTGTATGAGAAGCTTATTTTGAACTCGTAAAAAATGTACGAAGTTCCTTTTTTACTCTGCTCAAATACGAAATTCCCCCCCTTCTATATACCTTTCCTATGCTTAATTTTTCGCCCATCGGTGCAGAAAGACTTAGCGGGTGCAAAACAAGACATCTGTCTACTTTGTGTTTGCCAGAAGCTTATTTTAATGTGTCGAGAACCGTGAGCTTTGCCTAATTGGAATTAACCGACTTATGAATAAATAAAAATGTTTTAACTCTTAGTCCAGCCAAACCAAGATCCCGTTATGTCAACAAATTTTGTCAAAGCATTAATATTCGACCAAGACAGCTTCTCTGTTTCTTATGTTTTGGAATTTTACATGTTAAAATATTTTTCTGCTTAATTTTTAAAGTAAATTTCATGGCATTTGAATATTAAATTATTATTTTATATTCGTGTTTTCTATTTAATATGTATTATTATCATATTCTATTATATTTTGAATAAATTCGGACAGTCTTTCATATTAAGCATACATGCATGTCTCTCTTTTATTCTGATTTGGTATTACCTGAGCGTAAATAGATGTACTGAATTTAAATATAAATGTCATGTGAATGTATTTATATTTGCTTTGCTACTTCTGAATAATTTCTTTTTTATTTGTTTATTATATTAGTGTGTTAGGCATATTTTAATTCTTGTATTATGTGTAAAACTGATCCTATTATCTTTAATGATTATTTTCTGTATTGTGCTGGTACTATAAACGGCATTATTAAATGATATTTGCCAACTAGTTTCTAAAAATAAATTCTGGAAATCTGGTACCTAAATGGAATACAAAAGTCTATTCTAAACACAAATAATGATTAATTGTTGTTTATAATTTTTTCTGCTAATTATGTATATTTCTGTTGTAACGTGTATGCTCATGTTTCACTTTGTTTCTCTGCATATCTACTTTCAACTCGTATGATTATGTATTGTTAGTTCACCCATACCTTAATTTATTGTAAATCTTGTCTCTTACCGCCTTAATTAAAAGCATCAAAGTTCTCGCATCATACTTGTTATTGTTCCATGTTTTCAGCAATTACATCAGTTTGATGGTTTTCTGTTTCAATAGCTTTATTACACCTCTTACTCTCAAAGTTCATTTTACTCATTATTTCAGCTCGCATATTATTTTTTTAAAATTTATTATTATTTTTTTAATGTATTATTTTGGATTTAACTTACGTTTATAACAGGGCTGGGCAGTCGTTAGGGAAAATGATCGACTCCAGCTCCTGAAATTTTAGACTCTGACCACCAGTGGCCGAGTGGTAAAGTCGCTGAACACTGGTAGTTCTGTCCGAGGTTCGAATCCCACGAATGGACTGGCTGGATTGGCGTTTTCATGGTTTTCCCCATGTGTAACTTGTATAACAAAAAAAAAAAAAAAAAAAAAAAAAAAAAAAAAAAAAAAAAAGAAAAAAAAAAAAAAAAAAAAAAAAAAAAAAAAAAAAAAAAAAAAAAAAAAAAAAAAAAAAAAAAAAAAAAAAAAAAAAAAAAAAATAAAAAAAAAAAAAAAAAAAAAAAAAACAAAAAAAAAAAAAAAAAAAAAAAAAAAAAAAAAAAAACAAAAAAAAAAAAAATTATGCTCCCCCCCTTAGGCAGATAAGATAGCCAGTTGCTTTGTCATAATTAAAAAACCAAACCAAACTGACTCCGATCCCTTATATATATATTAATTGAAACGGACATTCTCTATTCTAAAAAAGCAAATTTAAAGTTATTAAATTTAAATAAAATTGAATTACAATAAATGAATATTATTGCTGCGAACTACTCTACATTTCATTTAAATTCTGAGAGCATATATATAAAGGGCAAGTATCAAATCTATGATTATATAAATGTATATAATAGTTTCAAAATTTTTTAATCCTAAAAATTTATAAAATGCATAATGAATAATTTGAGCAGGTGAGATGGACTTATCAGGAAGTTGCCTCCACCTAACTCTTCAATTATTCAATTCGTGTTTTGTCATCCATGTAGGCAAAGGTAAAAGGAAAATTCAAAACCAAATGTTGTGAATTACTAAAACGAAATTTAAACAAGTGGAATTTAGAGAAATTAGCAAGTAAAGACTCTAATTATTCTAGTCAATTAAGAGTAGAAAATCAAATTTTTTAGAAAAGCAAAGTAATTTAGAGACTCTTGCCTACAAAAAACTTCCCCAACACAAATTATGGAAATAAATCGGGGAAAGCACAGAATAGCCCACTGTTTGGCGCGTTTTTAAGAATTACACATACTCTCTGTCCATGTACACGTCGACCTATTTTCACTTAAAAAGAAATCCCAGACTTGCACAAAAATGGCATTGCGTAATCCCTTGACTTTATCCATGTACATATCGACCTATTTTCACTTTAAAAGTCAAAGAAAATTGAGAAAAATCCAATCTTCTTACTCTTGTGAAAAGCGCCAAACAAATAAGTGGGCGATTCTGCACTTTAGCCAATAAATCAAAAAGAAATTAGATACTATTTATAAAAAATACATAAATAATGCTAAAAAAGCAAGTAAAAATAAGTTTTAATTTAACTGACCAACCATATTGGGGATGTTTCCGTAACCAGAACTTGGTGAAATTTCGGATTTGTTTACGTTGGAAGAGAGCGTACATGCGACAGAATATGGCAACCCTGATAATTGTTGCAACCTACACAAGGAATTTTCCTAAAGGAGGAAAAGGGAAATTTTCTGTTTACTTTTCGAACATTGCGGTAAGAGAAAATAAAGTTTGAAAATCATAAATCATTATTAGTTCATATTTTTGCAAGACGTTTATGGGGAGGAGAAATGAAACCAATAACTTTTAATATATTATAGCTTTTTTCTTACTTTTACTAGAATTCTAATGATAAAATGCTTAATTGGCATCTAATGCATTTAAATGCATATTCAATGAAAGTATTAAAATAGATATGAAGATGCATTAAATATCATTTGGACTAATTTAATTATGCTATCACTTGTTTTAATAACTCTGTATTCTTAAATAGGGCATCACATTTAATTGGCTGTGCACATTTAATTTTTCTCAAAAGTGATACTTCACTTTTGAGAAAGAAAATTTACTAATTATTTTAATAAAGTTTTCATAATAAAAATAATTAAGCTATTCTTATTAATTTTAGATGTCTGTACATTGTTTTGTTCTGTACATAGCAACTCAGAAAGATATATGAGTAGGATATCCAAGATGGCGGTTAAAAAATCACCAAGGGAAATCATTACGGGAAATTTGCCACTATATTTATATTTGGACATATACACATGGTTTACAGCTTATTTTTTTAATATAAAAGAAGTAATAGATGCTACAGGAAAAATATTAGTGACATAACAAATTATTTATATTAATTAGCATTTATTATGAATTGGAAAAACTGGCGTTAGTTATTTCTAAGAAACAGTATAGCCAAATTTTAAAAGCCTGTGAAAATTTGAAAATATAATGCTGATTTTTGTTGTTTGACTTCTGAATTAGTATTTGTTCAGTGTGTTATTGTGTCTTAATTAAACAGTATAGCTTCGGCAAGATCTTCTTTGCTGGAGTGCCATAGATCCGATTTGATAAACTTCAGAGCTAAGAAGAGTCTTTCCACACTAACTTGAGTAGGAAGAGCTGTTACTATTAGGGCTACTTCTTTAACTTTTCAGGATAGATTTTTTATAAGTTCTAAAAGAGGTGTCTTGCAAGCGAATCATATTTCTCTATTTCTTCAAAGGTCATGTAGAAATTTTGTTTGTATTTTTTCATTTTTATATCTAAAGGCTGTTGGTTCTTTATTTTCATTCACTTTGCTTTAGTCTTTTCAATATTATCCAAAAATATTTCTTAATACCTTATTCATCACTGGAAGAGAATGAGACTCAATTAAAATGTTTGCAGTTTGACTGTCCCGATTCAAATTCTCCAATTGTTCTGAGAATAATTTCATTCTTAATGAAAGTTCATAGATGGCTTTTTTTGCCGTTTTAATTTGTTCATCATCCAAGAAAATTCAGTGTTTCAGATCTACATATATTAAACCTTGAAAGATGTCATTGTCTAGCAAATAAGTTTCTCTTTTCTTCATTGAAGAAATGATTCCTTCTGCAATAAACCCTTCATTTCAGAAATAACAAACATCACATTCTTCCATTCTCGCCTCCTGTCAATGCTTCAGATTGCATCTTTTTTGTGGCTATATACAGTGTAGAAAGAAGTTTCCAATTCTGCAAGATCATTCCACAGTCTGTTAGTGAAACATTAGGGCTATCTATATTACTATTCTATCTACATTATTACTATTCTAAAAAAGTTCTTAATTCTAACAACCTCTTTATCATCAAATATGTACTTCCTTATTGTGTTGCTTGATCAGTAATTGCTCCTTTTCCTGCTCGCTTCCTAAGAATAGCATCAGTTTTGGGAGTTCTTGCTGCTATTGCTGTTTACCTAAATTTACCAGTGAAATTTGTAACTAAATGTAGTAACTAAATCAGTTAAATTACTAATGGCAAATATCACATCCATCATCCTTCCTTATATTTATTTATTAATACATCAATAAAATAGAAAAATAACTATTTATTAATGTATATAGTTCGTAAATAAAAATAATAACTCAGCTTGTCATTAATTTTTTCGCATTTTAATTTCATTTCAAATTCAAACTGTCCAACAAAAATTGGAGTCAGAGTTGGACTCAACCTGTTTTTAGCTACTCCAGCTCCGACTCTCTTTACCCAAAAATCAGCCTGACCGACTCCACAGCCCTGGTTTTTAGTATTGATTAGGAAAGTACAATGCTATTCGATTAGGGGTAAGGTCTCGCACCTAGGTACCCTGGTAAGAATACCGTTCCACAGAAGTGTAGAATTAAAAATAACATATTTGCAAAGTTCAGTGTCAGCAGAGAGTTACAACAATTAAATAACATATTTACAATGTGCAGTGTTAGCAGCGAATTACAATCATTTGAAGATAGCGATATTAAAATCATAACTAATTATAATCTTTGATAGTTGTATTTTTAAAACTTAATATTAAAACTACACTAATACATATGTAATATGATCTTATTATGTATCCTTTATGAGTAAATAAGGAATTTTATATTGATAAAAACAGGTACAATTCCATTATCAGGACCTAAACAAATCTCCCAGTGATGCCAAAAATAATCATGGTAACCCCATCGCAAAGAAAGGAGCATAATAGTAAATAACTCTCTAAGAATCTTATTTTAATTTAGATGAAAGATTGATTTCATATATTACATTTTTTATTACAATCTTACAATCCATAAAAAATAATAAAACAGCTAACCATGAAACTTCTTATCTCTACCAAAGTTGCAGAGAAAATTTCAGGTTTTTTTTTTTTTTTTTTTTTTTTTTTTTTTTTTTTTTTTGTGTGTGTGTAAATGTTTTTATGATGTTAATTATGCCATTTAGCAGCGTCCCTCGGCCAATTTATTGTTTGTGTATAACACCCATTTTCAGGGTCTGCAAGTTATACTTGTGGTTAAGAGGAAAATATTCAAAGGTGGCATCTCGCAGTTCATCTGATTACATTTGTTTGATCTCACAATTCATTTACTTTTCAGCAGTCAGAATAAATAATGCTCCTCTTGGCAATATTTTCCATTATGATGTTCAATAAAGTTTTCTCACATTAATTTCTAACAGCAACCGAAAAAAAAAAAAACATTCATTTGAATCTCTGCAAAATCTACTGAAAACCCACTTTGGCCAAAGAACACACTTGACATTGTTCTGTCCTCAAGTGAAAAGGCAGTGTTTTAATAATTTTGTACCCCTCTACATTTTTCAGCATAGGGTGAGCAATTAAATCTGTGGCACATACCTTACACTTGTAATTGTTCCAGTCTACAGTTGTATTGTGGTTTATCTTCAGTTGGAGTTCATAAAATTCAACTGATGTTATTTCCTGATAACAAAACTTGATGAACCTCATATCTTTAAAGAAGGAGATTTTCTATTCTTCGAACCAATTTTATGTTCTTAATCCTTCCTTCTCATTGCAAGATTTTTTCTTGCAGTGCAATTTTGTTGTTGAGTTATCAATGAAATGCAATTTCATCTTTTGGCTCTTTTAAGCATAATTTTTTATCATGAATGATGTCTATTCTTTCAAAAAATTCTATTGCATACTTTTCATCCTTAGGCAATTAACAAATCGTTATATCCATAGTGTTATAAAAAACTTAAAAAATTATACCAGGATTTCAGTGGTGACTTATAAATCTTGAACTGTCTATTGTAAATGCAGTTTTCAAATAAATGGGTGCCTTTGTTAGATTTGGCACTTTTGTGCATATACATATAATAAAACTGCTTTCTTATAGTGATAAGACTGCATTATTATTGAAATAAGATGACTTTCTGAGAGTTGCAATGGAGTGGCATTGGAGAAGACTGCATCATAATGCTGCGTGTGTACGTGTTCGTTTGAATTGAATAATGCACAAGTTCGATAAAAAATGGACAAAATTTATTATATTATCACAACAAAAGTGCTTAAATTTCCTCAGATATTCTTTCAGTATTACAATATCTCGCAGTAGTCATCTTTTAACTAGTCAAACATTCAACAGAAGTTAATTCATACAGCTAAAGAAAGCTAATCCGCGAATTCGTTACAATCAACAAGAGCAGTTTTCTAAACAAACTCTTAAAACAACAACAAACTAACTAAAATAACTGAATTGAGAGATTTTAAGCCGCATGCGAGAATTTTCTGCAATTTTCTCGAAATCAAAAAGGGATATTTATTTTATTAAATGTTAAATACACGTGCTCTTGTATTTTTAATTTTTCCGTCTTAGCTTTCCTTTAATATTCATAACGCGCTGCACTGCACGGGGAATAAAACAATTTAATTAGAATTCAACTAACATTAGTTATTTAAATACTAAATCCGTAACAATAGCTTAAACCTTTGCCGCATAGTTAGGACGATGGATGCATAAACCAGGGGGAAAATTTGCAGACATGGCCTAAATTCCATAAATGATTTTATTTCCTCGATAATGCACATTATCACTGTGAATGCGCTATACATCTCATAATTTTGTTCAGCTTACATCTTAAACTATGGACAAGTTTAGGAAAGGAAACTTTGCTTAGCTAGTGACACAGCAGAAGAGACAAGCGAAGAGAGAGTTGTGATGTAATTGCTTTTTTTATACCAAATTCCATTTCAGATCATATGGCACTTTAATGTACAGGATTTTGTGTTCAGATTTCATCGGCAAGTGCGCATCAGAACTGCAGGGAGTAAAATTTATTGTTCTTTTTAGAATGAAACAGGTTAAAAGGCTCTTAAAGGGCTAACTTCTTTTATTTTTTATTTCATTTGGGAACTTTATCTCTCTGTCCTAAAAATACCGCTGTAAGTCTAAACTGCATCATTCAAATTAATCACGCGATCTTATGTAACGCTTAATGCAGATGTCTTTTGCCCAATCAAAATAATTGTAAAACAAAACTAGCTCGAGCTGAAAAATTTCGACCCCCCCTCCCTTCTTCCCCTGCATTACTATTGCGACACTCTGTTTTTGCTTAAGCTTTCATCCTGTTAAGACTGCTGCAATCGTCTATGTACTGCCATGATAGTTTCTACCGGTATAGTATCAAAATTGTGAATGTTCTGGAAGTGGGCACAATTAGAGTGCCAAGTGAATTATAGTCACAAAATGTGAATTTAAATAAATATGGAATTTAATTTGGCTCGATTGCTTATTCTTAAAAATAGATGGATGCTCTAAGTATCAACTTTTACGTCCTACAGTTTTAGTGTTCCTACATCAATGCTTCCAAAAGTGTGCTAATATTGCATTTATTAGTCGACATGGATTATGTGCTAATGACCTCAATGGAACATTTATTTATTCCTCAATTGGGTTTCTGTAAAATAGTATCTGAAAATTCATCATTCTAAAGGATATCATCGACTATTCAAAAATAGTACGCTATCATTACATACAGTAACTTACCTTTAACAGGAACTTGCTTAAGGTGGATACTCTGTTAACATGAAAAACATTTTGGTCTCAGAAATGTGCACGATCTTATAGGAAGTTTTATTCGTTAATGCAAATTTCAGTTATCATGAATAATGAACTGTTTTTCAGTCTGTTTTTAGTTAGTTTAGGTTTTTTCCCATTTAAAACAACTTTAAAAGTTTTTCAACTAAACCAATGTAAAGGCTCACTCCACCTCAACCAAATGCAACAAGTCATCTTCAGCCTTTGGATCATGGCATTATTGCTCTTATGAAGAGGTCTTATTGCAAACTTGTGAGAGTTGCAATTCATGTTGCTGGAAACGAGATGGAAAAGGCAACTTTAAATGTGCTTGATGCGATAAAAGCTATCGTCCCATTCTAGAAATCAAACACATGTTATAAGAACATACACAAGAACTGTTATAGAAGAACATACACAAGAACTGTTATAGAAGAGCATGCAGATATAAAGATGCTAATCCCATTGACCAGTTAGATGGTGACCACAATACCACTTCACCTGATGAATGAAATAATCTATAAAACACATTGTGAATCCCAATGTTAGTTTTGTGGAATTTATTAACACAGGTGATAATGCTGCAGAAAAATCTGTTGTACAAGTAGTTGTATATGAGGTGCAAGAAATATCATCCGAAGAATGTGAGGAGCACAGCATCATTCCTTCCACCTGGCAGTAAGTACATGTCTTCGGCACTTTAGAACGTTTTGCTGCAACATCCCAGTTGATCACTAGTTTTACCGAAGCCATGACTACAGTTGGCTGTGAAGTTGCCAGGCATTTTCGTTCCCACATGGACAGTGCAATATACAGGAAATTATCACCAAAGAAATATCTGTAAGTACATTTTTTCAAGTTAATAATTATTAAATAAAATAATTTATGTAAATAAATAAAATGGTAAAATAATTTATGTAGTACTGTAGTGTTTTCTATGATAACATACATAATATATTGTAGTACATTATGGACACTGCAAACAAAAAAGGGACAGTTCCATAGCTCTTGTTTTATTAGGCCGATTGATGAAATTCAAACTGCGTTTTCCATGTCTCGAAAGTGTGACTTAAAATATGTATTAGATTGATATATGGCTTTGTTCTAACATAGATATTTTGGCACAAAATCGGACTTTTCCTAAAATAGCATGTCGAGTTTCATCTTTCCATAAATTTAAAAATAAAAATTAGGTTCTACATGCTATCATTCATTCTTTCATACTTTAAAGTTTTGACTATATTTAACTTGCTATCAACTGAAAAAAGAAGCAGTCGGTCTTATACAAAATCCCAGAATATTGTAAAAGGGGCATCAGATAAAATAATAAAGCTGTAGCCAAATGACAAAACAAAAGATAAAGAGAAATGGCTTGCCAGTTTAAAGATAAAGAGAAAACAAAAGATAAAGAAAAATGGTTTATATTTGGAAGAATTTATGTGACAGCTGTCTTTGATGAGAGGACAAAATATTTCTTTTACAGAAGTAATTTCCAAATTATGATCTACACCAGGGGTGCGCATTAAGTCGATAGCAATCAACTGGTGGACCACCAAGACATTTGGAGGGACCGCCTTTACTAAGGACCTAAGCATGTGCATACTAAAAGAAATTTATGGAACACCGATGCCAGCTGACTGGAGAATTGGCTTTTTGCAATTGATACAGTTGTGTTTACAGAAGCAAATGATTCGATGAATGCGTAGAAAACACATGTACCTTCATTAGAAGTGCATGATGATGCTTCACTACATACATAAGTTACTGATTCATTGGTTCACGTATGTTTTCTGCATTGAATACGGTCTAGCAGTTGATAAACTTCTTCAAATATTCAGTTTGACAATTTTGTGCTACTTGCATTTTTGTAATAAAAATAAGTTATCTGTCATATTTTAAAAGAGGGATACGATGTCAAAAACAAGTGTTAAGAAAAGAAAAACATACAATTTTAATACAGATTGGGAAGAACAGTTTTTCTTTACAGTGGTGAATGCAAAATGTGTGTGCTATATATGTCATGCAAGTGTGCACTTCCAAAAAAGAAACATTGAAAAGCATGGAAGTTTTGATACAGATTTTCCTTTAAAAAGTGAATTGTGTAAACAAAAGTTAAAAGAATTTAAATCACAATTATATTTTATATTAGACAGGGATTATATTTTATTAAAACCAATACTTTATCTAAGGCTGTAACTGTTGCATCTTTTCGTGCGAGTCATGTTTTGCTAAAACATAAAAAAAAACCTTTCATAGATGGAGAAAAATGCTTTTCTGGAGCGATTCATTCAAGAACAAAAACTAAATTATTTCTGCAGTTAAAGGCGTACAACTTTCATGTAGAATTGGCATGTGCTATACAGAAATGATGAATTCTGATCTGGCTGATCACCTGACCGATGATATTATTAACTATTATTTGCTTTTCCTTGCAGTTTGATGAATCTATGGACATGGTTGATATTTATCAAGTTTGCATTTTTAAAAGAATGGGTTTTAAGGATATGAGTGTAAAAGAAAAATTATTAACCATATTATTTCTAAAGAAGAAAATGCAGGGTGAAGATATTTTCTGTACCTCCAAACAATACATAGATGAAAAATTCCAATTTATAAAGTTGTATCAGTGACAACTGATGGGACATCATCAATGACCAGTGCAGTCAATGGATTTTTGACTATCAGAAGAATCAGAAGGGATGACATACTGCATTCCCTTTCTTAGCACTGCATTATTCACCAACAGGCCTTCTGTTGTAAAATTTTAAAGATGCATCACGTTATGGGAATCTTCATGAAAATTGTGAACTCAATTCGAGGAAGAAGTCTTCAGAGAAGAATGTTTCGAGCCCTACTAGAAGAAAATGAATCTGATAAAGGGGGAATTATTATATCATGCAGAGGTTCATTTGTTAAGTCGGATTATATTTTTACAAAGATTCAGGAACCCTCTGCAAGAGACAAAAGATTTTTTGGAATCAAATGATAACATAGTGATGACGTTTGGCTGATGGGTTTATATTATGATATAACAAGCCATCTTAATGAATTGAACGTACGATTGCAAGAAGAAACAATAGTAGAATTGATGGGATTTGTTAATACAGTACAAAGTCCGTAATCCGGACTCGTCGATTCCGGATTTCTCCTTCAAAATGACAATTTTAAAAGCACATAGTTCAGAGCCTAAGAATCTAATGGACGAAGTAATGTATCCTAATTTAAAAAAAGTTGCATTTCATTTAGCATCATTCTTTGGCTCTACCTACCTGTGTGCATCTGCGTTTTCAATGATGAATATAATTAAGACAACATATCGTTCATGTCTCGCAGACAACTACAGTACAAAGTCCGTAATTCGGACTCGTCGGGACTTCGGCAATTCCGGATTATAGATCATCAATTTATATCATGCAGAGGAAAGTTATTTTAAAGTTATTAAAAAAAATTATAGTCTAAAGGGTATCAAAACTTACAAAAAAAAAGCTTAATATTTATTTGTTTACTTTATTAAACATTCTTTCAATGCGCGCATGCGTAAAGCATACATTACGCATAGTCGAAATTAGAAAATTGCAACCAGAAAACTATTTTGATGTGTATTCATGATATTTATAAGGCGAGAATTTGATTTTTAATGATATCAAAGACGGAGTGCATCAAAATACTACATTTAATAAGGAATTATAAGCCGAACAAAATAAAAACATCTGCCCTGAAGATAAGGATAGTGTTGACAGATCAACTTCCAGTTCATTGCGCGCCGTACGTTCTCCTCCCCCGCAGAGCAGCGTGAAATTGATAAACAGATTTCGGAATGGTTAGAAAAACAAAGGATATGCCTTTATCCATTTTTTGCAGCAATTTCACTTCTTGTTTGATGGGCATCGAAACATGCTTTCACTTTGTAGATCCTTTGGCAGCTCCAGAATTGGAAACACTTTATGACATAATCGAAAGTTCAAACTTAATTTTTATAAAATTGCTCTAACAGTCTTCGAAAAATAATAAGCTGGATCCAATTAGAAGATTAAGGAACAGCACAATCTGCAACATTAACTGAAATGTCTTAGAATCGGTAAATATAATTTTAGCCTAGATTATACCGTCCGTTATACATTAAACGTGCATGCGTAAAGCATACAAAAAAAAGTTTGTGGCTTTGAGGTCTGGTTTATAGATCATTCCGGATAATGGACGTCCATATTATGGACTTTATACTGTACTTCGAATCCAGTGCAAGATCAGCAATTAGTAATTATATACTGAGATATTCAAGATTGGCAGTATGCAGACTAGGTTTTCTATTATTACTACTGTTAGATGAGATTATTCTAACAGTAGATGTTCTATGAGATTATTACTACTGTTAGATGAAAATGATTTATTTTTTAATATATTTTTAATTGTTTGATAAGAAATGCTTCATTTGAAATTATTATATAGCGTGTTTCAAAAAGAATATACATATTTCGAATGCATATATTTATTAAACTGTATGACATATAAATATGAAACTTTACACACATACAGTCAAAAGTCGTTAATTTGGACACCCATAATCCGGAATGATCTATAATCCGGACCTCAAAGCTACAAACTTTCTGCGCATGCGTTGCGTTGACGCATGCGCGTAAGCCCTTTACAGCTGCGAATATGTATGTGCGCGTGAGCAAAATACGTTTACGAATGCGAGTTTAATGTATAACGGACGGTATAAGCTAAGCTAAAATTATCTAATTCAGTTAATGATGCAGATTGCATTGTTCCTTAATCTTCGAATTGGATTTGCTTATTATTTTTTGCAGACTGTTAGAGCAATTTTATAAAAGTAAGCTTGAACTTTCAATTATGTCAAATAGAATTTCTGATATATATTTACTAATATGTAAAGGATCTATGAAGCGAAAGTATGTTTCGAAATCATTAAACAAAAAGTGGAATTGCTGCAAAAATGGATAAAGGCATATCCTTTGTTTTATCTAAAACTTTAAACGTTTGTTATCTAAACTTTGTTTATTAACGCCACGGCGTGCAATGAATTGAAAGTTGATCTGTCGGCACTATCCTTATCTTCAGGGCAGATGTTTTTATTTTATTTGGCTTATAATTCCTTACTAAATGTAGTATTTCATCTCAATGTACTATGTCTTTGATATGATTTAAATCAAATTCCTCGTCATTATAATTCGCTTCCGATCGCGAAGAAAGTGACAGAGGTTATTGAAAACGAAAAAATCTACCTGCTATTTACTAAACCTCTAGACAAAATGAGACATAAAAGAAAAAATCAACATAAAGCTAACTGTTAGCAAAACAAATAAAATGTCCCTAATCTTCTATCAGATTTGTTCAACTGTTATACATGTAAAATATTTAATGCTACTTGATAAATTTTATAAAGTGGATTTTATTCTCAAATTTGTTATGTTTATTAAATTATTTTTAATAAGAATGCACCCTACTTATGGATCTATTTTATTCTTAGAGTGTACAAAAGTGAAGTTCAGACATTTTTTCCCCCCAACGGCAGATTGTGAACAGTTACAGATGTAACTAAGTCCATTAATCTATACTAAGGCCAGATGTGGTGGTCTCTTTATTATGGAGGCACCTAATAGGTGGGCCACCATTGCCTCCTATGAAAGCCATCTTAAAGAATTACTAGTCACTAGCTAAAGACAGTGCTTTATTTATATCATAGGTTTAGTCTGAAAAGTTTTCTATCCACAACTGTAGTTACTGTGTCACCCCTGATTTCACATCTTGCATGATTGGAAATTTGCATAAATCATAGCGCTTGGATTTTGCCTAAGTAAACAAAATCTGCCATTTTTC